GAGGACAAGCCTGAGTGACGCTCGACGCTTTGGACCCGTGGGAAGAAGGGGAGGTACTAAGAAGGACTAAGGACGTGGCGTGGCCGCGTATAACAGCTGATGAAAGTGTCCTTTAGGGACGAAGAGGTTTCGAGAGGCCCCCAAATGATGCGAAGTGGAAGGGATTACGTGGTGAAGAATATTCGTGGATTTCTGTTTGGGGAACAGCGTAGATAGATCGGAGGAAATTAGAGCCAATTTCTTTTCCTATGAGGCGTGACCTTCGTTGGGATGTGCAGCCAATCAGAATGCAGGGATGGCTGCGGCCTTCAGCCTAAGTCTTTGATGGCAAGTTGACAGCGGCCTGAGACACTTTTACCTTTTGGACATGTAGCCACTTCATTAGGATGCAGAATTTTCCTGAGTTCTGCTGCGAACACGTCACGCGGCCGAGAAGCCCACCCCGAACTCCCCAGCCTTGCACAGCGATCGTCTGATTGGTTTTCAGCCAAAATAAGAAGTGCGAGCCTCAATCGGGTTGTTGCTTTTACTGAACTTGCCACAAGTCGTCGGCATTATGTCCGTCCGTCCGTCCGTCCGGTAGAGAACCACTGGACGGATCTGGATGAAATTTGATGTGAACGTGTGACAAGGCGAAATTAAACCTGACTGCCTCCCCTGTTTCGTATCTAGGAAATGCTTTTCGTGCCGGTGGACGGTCTTCGCCTGTTTTTCAAAGCGTCCGTTCCCATGAGCGATTTTATCTACCGATCAGTTTATCGTGATAGACTTTCGCGCATTTATCTCGTTAGATTGTGCATCTTTTATCTGATTAGATTTGTTTAATTTATTCTTATTTGAAGACAATGCACTTGAGTTTTCTTTTCTGTGTTTTCTGATTAAATTTTGTGTAATCTGCTTTGGATACGAACTTCTGTTCACAAGCAACGTGAAGAGAAGTCGATCTAGTCTTCTAGGGGAAGGAATGTGTAAGCCTGCATTTTACATTAATGTAACGAAGTGGGCGGTGGAGTTTTTCATTGTTGTTGTTGTTGTCCTTTGTCTGTGGCACATTTACATTGTTACATTTCAGTTCCGGGAAGTGATTTCTGGAAAAATGTCACATTGCTAGCAGCTTCTGAATCTAAATTCGCCTCGTCGTATTATTAAAACGTGGATATCTTTTCGTATTACGTTTGTCCAAAGACGGGCTTCGTATTTATGTTATTAATTAATGAGGTATTAGTCGTTTGGGACGAAGTAGCAAAAGTGCGACGTTTAGGAAGGCGGCTTTTTTCGGTATTGACAAGTATTTAGAGTCCTTTTTTGCAGTTGCGAAATTTCGTACGAAAATACTTCTAGTAATTTCGCTGGTTTTATGAGCGGTGAATTCTCATAGAAAATTACGAGTAACGTGCATTCTGATGAGTTTCCTCTGGGTACATTTTAATGTAGTTCTACAACACAACAGAGGGTTTTTTTACGAGAATGTTCGCTGGTTGAAAGTGTTGTCGCTTGTTTGGTGCGCGGCAAGACGGACTTCGGGCACAGGCACGAGGAAGTATCGATCGTCACAGAATAGCGCCGATAAATATAGCGCGATGTAATGGACATGCAGGAGGAAGGAAGGAACATTTTATTGGCGTTCACGTTTTGCTTTTAACGGGCCGGTGCCATTTTAGACCCTCGTTCGAGCCACGGCTTTGGAAGACTTGAAAGTCCGCATTTCCGCGATCATACGGCATTCTTTGATCACCCCTGAGTCATGCCAGTCACGTGGACAGATTGCACCTATTAATGCAACGAGGTTTTCATTTGATTTCTTGTGACTCTGTGAAGTGTTGCAGGAAGACTGCGTCTTCAATTTTCGGCCGCTCTGCCCCCTAGGTGGAAGGCCAAAGCTGTTCTGGGCTTGGTGGGGGAAGACTGCTTTGCTCCGAAGCAATCCGGCGTTGTCACATGTCCCTAACATTTCGGATCCTGTTTGAAAAAATATAGTTTATACTTTACGCTTGTGGCGAAATAAACTGGACCAGAAAGTCAGGAGGTTCAACTTTTCTCATTCCTGGCCTCCTACGTCTCTTTTTCCTTTAGCAAGAGAGCGAAGGAGTTTTTAGACTGCTTTAAATGTTGAAATCTTTTAGAATCGAGCGAAATAGTAAACGAAGCCTCTTTTGGTTTTTCTTGATTTCCACTGACAGTGTGAGGTTTGCTTTGTGGTTGCAATGCGACTGAAGTTCAAAATACGCGAAAAGATGGACGACGTCTTATCAGGCTCATTGGAAAAGTTAGCACCGGAAGATAAGGAGGATGAATATGGATCCCGTGGGTCCTAATGCAAGGCCGTGCGCCGGGGGCGTTGCCTCTGGGGTCTAGGAATTTGAGGGCCATTAATGTACTAGCATTGAAATTTTTTTTTTTATGAAACTATTGTAAGTGAAGTGTTTTGAGGTGACGAGTGAATTTGTTTAGGAGGAATGTCAGTTGCTTCCGTGTTTCTGGCGCCTTCGCTTTCCAAAATGCAATGGGCAATGCGATCAGTTTGCCCCGACACTTGACTCGGGCTGAGTTTGTTATTGCCATTGCTACAATCGAGAACCTTCTCACCCGAATTTCTGGGTTTATTAATTATATTTTGTTAACAACAAGACACAGTGACCAATTTTTAGTTATTTACGTAATTGCAGATTATCTGTTAGAGATCATTAAATTGAAATATTTTGTGCCTGCGAGTAATTACTTTTATCCCCAGTTTTAAGCTTATTAATAATAGTTCTATTCGGATTTAGGGGTACGACCAGCATGTTTCAAAAAAGAACAGACGTTTCGGGAACAACCAAGAGGAAGCTTTGAAAAGAAGCGGGTGAAAGAGGGGGAAAAGGACAGGCTTAAAACAAAAGACGGGCAGAAAGCAGATGCTAAAAGTTTACTCGAGGAATTTGCATCCGCCGTTTCCGAGGGCGAGGATTTCATGTTCGATGATGATCGTGATGAAAGAATAATTGGTGGTGATCCAGTCACGTGGCAAATTAGTTTAATAAACTGTTATTGTCAGTGGCAGAAACTGCACAAAATATTAGATTTAGATTTAAATTTGTTAAACAAAGAAAAATAAATTTTAAAATTGTTGTGTGAAAGAATAATTGCTGTAATATTGTTTTGTTATTGTTATTTCTGATCAGTTAATTCACAATATTTGGTAAATGTTCGCGCGACATATTCAAATTTTATTAATTTGTATCCCAAGTCTAATAATGACGTACTCATATTTGTTGTGAACTTCCTGTTTTCTTGCAAGAAATCAAAATATGAATTTAGAAGTACAGACGATTTAATTTTAATTTCCGTAAGTAATAATAATAGCATTAGCAAAATAACAACAAAAATTTGGAGGGGGCCCCGAATGGAGCTTTGCCCCCAGGCCCCAGGATAACTTTGCACGGTCCTGGTTCTTATTTAGGAGGCCTGAAATTCGGTGTCCCTGGCCTTTAGGTGAATTTTGTCTGTGGGACACGCGACCAGTCTTCCTGCGTTGCGGTCGCCAACTCAAAAGGTACACGTAAACTCGTCCCGATGCGCAGTTGTCACACAGCAAAAACGACTTCACAAAGGCTCGACCTTGGCGGTTAGCCCAGGTTCGCGCTCCGGCCGCTTTACCCCTGAAGAAAGAACTACTAGTACCGAGCCTTAAATGGGTCCAATAGCCGGTCAGGACATGAAGGCGAAGAAGGAATCTCTGCTCCTACCGGAAATTAAAATCCGGTCTCCTGTTCCGCGCAGCCAGACAATGACAAATATATTTGATTCTTTCAAATAAATCTGGCGTCGCGTGTTATAATTTTCATGACCGTCTTTGCAAAGAGTACGGAGATTTTCTGAGGGCTCGTATCTCTCTCCTCTCGCTCTTTGCTTCTTAATTTATTTCGGTTAATTTCATCTGCATGACGTCTTTACGCGAAAGATGTTTTCATTTGAATTTTAAGTTGCTGTTTACAAGAGACCCCACTATTAAAATAAATCCTTTCTGGTATGCTAACATTGAAAAATAACAATGTCAGAAAAAGGCAAGAAAGTGTTCTGTGCCTTTTCGAAAAGACGTCAATTCAGAATGTATTCAGTACAAAAAGTAGTTGGTATTGGTCCCTCATATGGCAATCGCAGGGGACTGACGAATTTCGAATGCTAAGGCAAGGTTGTGTTCTACTTTGAGGTCAAAGGATTCGTGCATGTGGCAACGTAGCCACAAACCTGTGTTCCGCCATCGTGCAGTGCTCTTCCATTGGGTGACAGACACCCAATCGGCGTGGCTCTTGGACTGCGGCCGACCGCTTTATGCCTTGTTGCTGGGCGACTCCCAGTGCAGTTTATGACATTGAGTGTTACACGTAATGCAATGATGAAAGGGAATATGCAGAGTAGTATTTTCCATGTTCATTTAGTGTGACGATAAGTTTGAGTGTAGTGATGCCAGTAATGAGTCTCGTTTTGTTTTTTGAAGCAATTGTAGCCACAATTTTTACAGGGACTATCGCGTTAGGATATTCGTTTTTGTTTGTGAAACGAGGAATGGGGGATTATAGCAACAATGTCCTCAAGGAATGAGTAGAACCATTAAGCGTTTATGAATATGGGTTGTGTTGATCTCCGGCCTCAGAATACTGACCACAATCACCATCTTGACATTTTCCCATTCACCTGTTCGAAATAATTCATGTATGTTTCTAGTTATATAATTTGCTGGATGAGGAACTTATGATTTTGCATCATATATTGGAGGAGACTGATGATGATACAGAATAAATCCTCGGCAGAATTTCAGGTAAAATTGACCAAATGGGGGATGTACTCAACAGCGTAATGCACCCATTTCAAGTTCGGGAAGCGTGGTGTGATGCCGGAGTGGTTATGTGGAAGATTGGGGCTGTAGCGGCCTTGACGTGGGGAGGGAGTAACAGGGACAATCATGACAGCTGGCATGGTTTTCGAATTAACCATCACCTACGCATCTCACTAGCAGTGGTGATGGATTATTAGGTGTAGTATCCGGTTGATATTGTCGCCCATTATATCTGTGAAGGTGCCATTTTCAGTGTCTGACAGATAAAAGGTCTCATGCGGATGTGTTCAGTCGTCGTCGAGTTTGTCATTGAAGAAACAATAAACGTATGCGCTGGCAGAGCAGAACAGACCAGACCAGGCCCTTTATGCTTTGATTTCTTGAGTAACTTTACAAGGTCCGTAATGCCTTTCGAAATATCTTCCAGTTGACACGTGCTGCATTTCTTCGTATTCAAGGGATTCGTAGTTTGAATCCCTGCCTGGAAAGGTGTTCTAGATTTTTGGAATGACGCAGGTCACGAACACTTCCGTGGCATTTCCATTTCATCGCACATAATTACGCAGAATCCTTGTACATATTAGATAAGTGTTGGTTGGTGATATTTTTTTAAGTCACCGTGTGTTATAACCGTTGCCATGGTAATGCTGTGTAAGAATTTTGGGCTCTGTGGAAAATATAAACTTTATGGCTATATGTACGAACAGATTTAGTGAAAAAGACGGGCAATTTTTTACGATTGATAATAATTAATAGCGCGATTGATAAAGCGTCATTAAATATGTTGACACGCTTGTTTTCCTCAGTTCTCAGCAGATTGGCACTCCTGACGGTCTTCAGAAGGTACAAGCCTATACTACACATTCCAGTAGTGGTCGCAGGTTCGACTGTTTTGCGAGGTGGGACGTGATTTCTCTTCCGTCCCTCGAAGATAGTAGGCCCCCTTCAAATAGACCAAGACTGCCTCAATCCGCATATATTCGCTGCATCATCCTTCTGTCTTAGTAAATTAAAGGAAAGAGTTAGTCTTAAAAAAATAAATACACGCTTGTTTACTTCCTAAATCCGTGCGACACCCCTCTTTAAAAACCCCTGAGAGAATTCCGCGCAGGAGGTGTTTTATATTTTGAAATATAAAAATGATAGTATTTTTGTAGAACAGATTTATTTTTCTAATGACATTTACAGAAATATGGAATATTGACAGGTGATTCGGGTGCACGAGTACGTAATTATGAGGTTTCTGCACTCGCTTCCAATCGATTTGTCTTGGGGTGGTGAAAATCTGCTATCATTTAGTTTATTACTTTCTAGGATCATCCAAAACCCAAAAATTTATGTGGCACTACTTATGCCCTCATGGTGTTCAAAAAAGGGTAGAAAACCTCGGAACAACGAAAATGTGCAGAAAGGATTCTGCAGGACGATAACCGTCAGATGGGCCAGGTACATTAATCGCGCTCACAGGACATGACGTAAGCACAGGAACTGCTGTACCACGGCCGACAGAGACCAACGCTCCATGCGCTGCTGTTCTGTGCAGTCGCCTCGTGGCAGTGAAACCATCGGCAAGAAGGGGTAGTAAAATGGACTTCGCGTTGCACGATTGCTGTGACATGTGTTTGCTCGATGGTGCTTGTGGTAACCACGCCAGGTCTCCAGACAGGAATGTGTTTGTCAGGCTGGACGAGAGGACGAGGGAGAATGGCAACGTCTCACCAACACCAACATTGGATGTGGGTTGTACAGAATCCATGTCGTGGTACATGGGGGATTTCCTTAGTGTTGGGTGTCGAGCATCTCGCTGCCCATTCGGTCCTCCAGGATGAATACCTGCATCCCTGCAGGATGTACTAATGGTGCTGATTGAAGGTGTGTCACTGACGGTTTGACGTGACATGATGGGGTGCTGGTGCATTTTAGTGCACAGACTCAACAGCAACTGAACACATGCTTTCCTGACAGGTGGCGACCCTGTGTCATGGCCATAAAGATCGTCGAACCAGACCCTCTGGACGCCTTCCTTTGGGGAGACCAGAAATTGTTTACAGACATCCACCAAGTGACATGGAGCACTTACTTAAGAGCAAAGTTTTGTGCTGCTGTGCCGACCATTGATGCAGACGTGTTACGTCGTGTGCAAGGATGTTATCCACGTGCGACGTGCGATTGCATGTCGGCGAATGCATGGTGGAAACTTTGAACACGTAAGTGTAACTTCCGCCCTCTTAGTTACGTACCTCCAGTGGTCTGTGTCTACAAGCGTTCTACGCTTTTCAATTTTTGTTTATCCTGACATGTGTGGGCTGCGCATTCCTCTTATATCGTGTCTACATTATGTGGGGACCTATTGCACACTCCCTAGGCTTCTTCAACGAGATCTCGCGTATGGCGTTTCTAAATGCTACCGCGTTTGAATTTAACAATGTCATACCAGACACATTTATGTTATGTCGTTATAAATTGTCTTTCAACCAAGAAACTCGAGTATGTTATGTGAATCCTGTAAGTAATCACAATTGGAAAAGGAAAATGGTGTTATTCCGTTAATTTGTCTTAAATGTAACAGCATTGAATGCATGTTGTTTTGGCGGCAGCACTGCAGGCGTAGTAATGCGGCTGTGTAAAATAGTTCCTGTGTATAATGTGAAGCTTACACGGTGGCTGTTATTAATGAAATAAAAAGACGATTTTATTAAGATTATATATACAGTACGTAAGGGTTTAAGTGAATATAGGCTTAAGTAATACCTCGAAAATACACAAGGTATATACAAATCAAAGTTCAACTTGAACTGTTCTTGTACTGTCGCCAATATTGACCTTGATCACGTGATGTAAACATAAAACTGAAAGCGTGGAGAAACTTTTTTGAGGGGGGGGGGAGTTTAATGACCTAAGTAAACCAGTTTGCTACATAGAATCAAGGTACGTCTATACTACTAAAGAGTGTTCCGAAAATTCCTTTTAAATGTCCGCTACGGTACCGAATATTTTGGCATACTTGTCGCTGATTTATTTGGAATAAAGGAATATTGAAGCAGATGGAACAATAAGATCCTGCATTAGGTTCTTAAAATGTGAGAACTAAAGATGTAAGTCACAATAGAACTAAGTGTCTTCTGCCTCACCAAACATACTGAAACTTAATGTATAAATGGGCGCTTGAATAAGCTAGTCTTTGATGTGTTGTGAATTGAAAATGTCAATTGATTTCAAGAAATTCCACAGCACAAATTTTTCTTTGAGCAGTTGATAGTTGCTCACCTACTAAAATATATGTAATTTATTTTATGGAATCCGGAAGTTTATCACTGTAATCACAAAAGCTGGACGTTGGAACTTCATCTGCGTCAGTCGAGTCAAGTTCACAGCCTTTTCATTTAACAACCATATTATATTACTGTTGTGTATAAAAATTTGTAAATGAAGTAATTAGCTACGTTCATGCTTTTGTTCTTTGCAGCCTATTCCTGAATGGACGACACTTAATGTGACGGAGTGGATGAACTCTGTGAACCTTAATCGCTACGCGGATATTTTCAAGGCACGTGGAATGAGAGGCTGTGACTTGCTGCAGCTGAATAGTCAGAAACTGACAGTAAGTTTCTTATCAAAAAATGTTGAGGGTGACAGTGGCAGTACTTGCCGTGATTCCTGAACTTGCAAAGGGGAAATATGTTTAATGGAGTATGATACTCAGTAAGTTTTATAATTCAAAATTTAAAATATGGTAATTTATTTAATGCTAACAATAACAAATGTGGATGAAAGATTTCAAGACTGGCAAGTAATAGTTAAAACCTATTGAATTGATTATGTATTCAAGATTGTTAATCAATCGTACAGTAGGTTTTGAGGTTATCATGACCTGAAGATTGTAATTTTAATTGTCCCACGAGTGGTGATAACAAAATGGTGGGTGTAGAAAATGACGAGGCGGCCTGGTGACCAAAGGAACTATTGAACAGGGCCAATTTAATGCCTCCAAATTCCTATTAATTTGTAATAAGGTCTTTCAGCCTTCCACTTGTATTGCAGAAAATGGGTATCACCGAAGAGTTCCATCAAAAAGCATTGTTGGTTTGCTTGGATGAGTTGGTTCATTCTCGTGGATATGTAAGTGGCGCCAGCGCTGTTCGTGAACACGCCTTTGCCATGCTGAAGAGGTGTGACAGATGTAACAAGTTTCTGAGAGAAATACCGCATCAGCGGAGTATGTATAAGCAGTGATTACAAATTTTGTTCTTTGTTCAAATTTGTAAGTTCAGTAAAATATTATTATTTTTGTGTATGTGTATGCACGCGCGCGTGTGCGTATTCAAGGTGTCTAATGAAACAGCCAATCTTCATTGGCTCCAAATCAACCGTTAACATAGTAATGTTGGATGGAAAGGAGGAATCTCAAAGAATGTTATAGTTAAATGAAATTATCTTAATTTAAAAATTCAGTCAGCTTCGTGGGTTTGTGTTCTACTCATGTTTAACACAGGGTGTGACATAATGCATGCACTCAAGTTGCTTAAATTCAGTGACGGCTGAGTTGTAGAGCCAAGGAACGAAAACAACTGAATTTGCTTGCTGTTTAAAATTACTTCCTTCATCGTCTGTGCGTAGGCGAGCTCGATTTAGACGCGTCGCTTCCCATGTGAGAGCGGCGCGATCCATGATATGCCATAACAGTTTGTCTCATGTCTACACTTTCTGGCAAATGGAGGGTCACTGTTCCAGCCACATTCAGATTAGTGATTCAAGCGCTGTGTGACTTGTAGACTGAATGAGGTGGAGCCGTGTCATGTTGCAGCCACACATTTAATCTGGCATGGAGACAAATGTCGTCCAAAAGAAGTGGTAGCTAATCCTGCAGGACATGTCCCTCAAGAATGACCCATCCTTATGACGTGCAAATGCTCTAAAAGTTCGGTGGGCAACACAAAGACAAGAGGATAATGGAATTCGGTTTCTCATACCAATTCATAAGGGTTGAGATTTTGTCCTCTTTCGATGTAAAACTTTTGACTCAAAATAATGTCCTTTTAGCCCAATTTATGTCATCATTGTTACATGTACCATTCGATATAAGAATATTGACCCTACAGCCACTTTCTTACCAGTTGGAGCTATGCAAGCAGGTGAAGCCTGAAGTATTGACAGATTTTTTCGTAAGTAGACTACAGTCGTAACATACTGAGGCCCAAATAAGGCAAACTTTTGTAAATGAGGTACTGTTGGTCACTCCTCCCTCATTTTCAAGAATACGCTATTCAGTTATGCAGCATTAATCATTTATAAAAGTATGCAATTAACTTACGTACTTACCTCAGCCTGTTTTAATATTGTCAGTTTCTACCGAGCTCGGATAGAGAGCCAGTGAGACAGGATGTGGCCATATTTTAAACATACGGACAAATTAAAGCATTTTTCGTTTTTCTATAAAGATATCTTGACCAGTGTTGTATTTTAAATGTAAAGAGTTTCAGTTCTTTTGGTTGCCTTCTCATATTATCCCGCAGTGTATGTTCATTACTTAAGTAGGTTTATTTCTGTTAAATAACAATGTTTTCTATTCCAGAATGTGGTCAGGGAGCACACTTGAGTTCAGCGCTGCTATCTCAAAGTTCATTACCGAGTGTGGACCATTCTCCATACCATCGGTTGAAAATACTTTTTGGTGTTGGTCTTTGTTATCTATTTAACTCGTGTGATGATCAAGCTCCACAACTCGTGATAAGATGCGTTCGTGAACTCGAGTCTCGAGCTAGAAGCGACCGCACACTTGACTTGTATCAGCTGTACCACGCATCTCCTCGACTCGACCAGATCGAAGACTTGAGGACTAAATTACAAGGAGGTCGAGCATTCATTACGTGATCTATGCTATAAATATTTGTTTTGTGTACTTCTCATATCTGTAACGTTGGGCCTGGAAGCAAGACGAATTTGTTATTGGAGGAGTTTTCAGGTTCTTCTGTCTCAAACTTCTTATCACTGTCATTTATTTCTCCTTACTTACCCTGCTACATATTCTGGTAATAACATTCTTTACCAGGTCCAGTCTTCTCTCCTTCTTTTACTAGTCCAATATTCTGATCAACCAGTTTCCTTCTGCGATCACTCCTACAAAGTTTCTGTTATTGACTGATGGTGTGTGAGTGATTCATGCTTTTCCTTAAGCCGCTGCTTGCATTAACTGACCGTTGCTTTAAATGTAGACTTCCAAATCCCAGGCCTGTTTATCGTTAGTAAGTAGGATTTGAGGTTTTCAGGGCAGTGAGTCTGAAAACGCCTTCCTATTTCTTTTTAAGATCAATTTTAATATTATCCTCCTACTTATGTCTAAGTCTTCCCAATGGTCTCTTCTGGGTTGCCACCCAAACCCCATAGCATTCCTCTTTTCTCCCATGAAGGTCGCAGTCTCATCCTCCTTGATTTGATCTGTCTAATTATATCTGGTGAGGAGTGGAACTTATAAAGCTCCTCATTAAGCAACTTTCTCCAGCCTCCTAGTAATTCATCCCTCTTAGGTCCAACTATTCTCCTCAGCACCCCATTCTCAAACACTCTCAGACTATGTTCCCCCTTAATGTCAGAGGCCAAGTTTGACACCCATACAAAACTACAGGCAAAATTATAATTTGCGTATTTTAATGTCTACATTTTTAGACGGCAGATGAACAGACAGATGGTTCTGAACTGAATGGTAACAAGCGTTACCCATATTTAATCTTCTCATGATTTCCTCACGAATCAAATTTGGATTTCTTACTGTCACTCCCGAATATCTGAACTTTGCCACATTTTCAAAGGATCCATTAGCTGTCTTTATGTTATGATTTGTCCTGGATTCTGGTGGTGAGACATCGACATGCACTTGGTTTTCTATGTGTTTTCTTCTAGATCACCGTCCTTGCTAGTGTCAGTTAGAGCTGCTTTGTTTTCCTTTATGGTATTTATGTTGTCCCCAAATAGATTTACGTTGTGAGCGTAGATCGGATGGTGATCTGTCCCATTCAATTTCAGTCCCACCTCGATTTCTTGGACCTTCCTAATGGCATATTCTAAAGTAAATTTAAAAAGCAATGGCTATAAAGCATCTTGTTTTATAGAGCGTTTTGAATAGGAAACATGTCGGCAAGTTGTTACCTATACAGACTTTATTATAATTTCTATTTAAACACATTTTAATAGCCAAACTATTTTCATGGGTGTACCAAACTCAATAAGAATATTGGACAATACTTCCCTCGTAAGCGTATCACAGGCTTTCTTGAAGTCCCTGAATAGCTGATGTACTGTCTCAAAATTTTTTCTCAACGATCTGATGAATGCAGAAAATCTGATCAGTGGTTGACCTGCACTGATGATCCCCAAGAATTTTGTGTATGCATGGAAGTAATTTGTGACACACCATGTTTGTCAGCGGTCTTCCGGGTTTTGATCCAATTTGGACTTGGTGATGGGTACCACTTCAGCACTGTGCATGGAGACGGTATGTTCCTGTGAAATATTGTTACCCAACTGCAAGTCCACATGGTATAAAAACCTAGAAGACCACCGTTGATATCTTTAGCACCGTGAGATCCCAAATCACACCATAAATTTTGTCATGTAATTAGAACATAATGGAAAATTATTACAAATTAACTAACGTGCATGTACTATATGTGCTGTCACATACTGAAACTTGATTTGTTGTTTTCAAGGGTTATCATATACGTACACAATGTAGGCTGTTTTGCCTTGATGAATTAAACAGGAATGTAATTAAATGTAATTTTGCCCGCATCGTCGATATTTCGGATACCCGACATTGAGATACGTATTGTCATTCCTCTCCTGTTACTTTTCTTGAGAGTTCCAATCGACTCTATCTCTGCTGTACTGTAGTGGAATAACATGGAGTGTACAGACATTCATGAAGAAAAGAGATATGCAGCAGCCAAACAAGATGAAATAGCATATTACTTGTATAATAGTCACTGGATGTTTGTATCTACACCGGAGTTAAAGGTTGTAAATACTCGTTTGCTTACTTCCAGATGCGATGAGTGTGGATTTGTCTGGATATGGTTTTTCTACTATTGCAAGTGTTCTGAAGAGGTTTCTTCTTGAGCTTCCAGATACAGTCATCCCTATCCAGTGGTACAACAAATTCATTGATGTGTCTGGTAAGATTCTTTCACTAGACCTTATATTATTTATAATATTAATTTCCAGACGTACTTTTGCAGGCACATTTTGTGATGAGATGATGATGATGATTCTTTATAACATAAACTACATTTACGGCCATAAGCGTTTTCCACCGATTGAACTGTCGAGTGAACAGAAGCGCCTGTGGATGAGTAAAAGCACTCATTAATGTTGCTCTGATATCAGTAAAAGGAGGTATTGCGACCAGATGTATGAAAGCTGTGAAATAACGCTGTGGCAGGCTACTATGAAAACATATTTTAGTCTTTGCACATGAACTGATTTTGCCTGTGTTATTTGAATGGGCAGACTTTAATTCAGTGTACTGTCTTTTTCTCTGTATGTAAAACTCATAAGATAACTACCACTGCATTTCATATCTAGTGCATGCGTGTTTGATGTTTGAATGCAGTGGGACACTCACAGTCAGTCAGCTCAAGGCGTGGCGTTCGGGCTCTGAGGGCCAGTGAGCGAATGTTACATGCAGGTAGCTTAGGGTCAGTTGAATGAAATCAATTGTCAGTCAAATAGACAAGCCAAAACATGAGACAGTCATGTGGGAACCAGTCAGAAGAACACAATTCTTCTGGAATTCTTGTTGGCGCAAAAGACAACGAGGACTGTGGATGGTGTCCGGATAATGAGCTAATTGCTATAGATCATCATGTAGCATGTTGTGGAATGGCTTTACTTTTTTGTAGTAGAAAGTGACTGCCACATCTTACACTTACGCACTAAAGGAGCACGTCTGAGAATACATTTACAAGAAGAAGAAAAAGAAGATAGTGTTTTTTTAATGAAAGAAATGCTTTATCAGGATGATAATACAGCCCAGCTTAGATACAGCAAAAATTGCAAATAATGGATGCTCCTGCAGTCTAGACTTTGTTACTAGAGTTATCAATCCCTGAAGCAGCCAGAAGTTTGAACATGGTGAGCAGATGCAACAGCGTATCAGTCATTTTATGCAGAGGCTTCAAATAACTTCTTTATAGCATGATCTATGAAGCTTATGCAGTGGATAAAATATGTGTGTAACTTGTAAGGAATTGTGTAGAGAAACGGAGATGCCGAATTTGAATTCTCTGGATAATCATTCTGTGTACAAATTAATCCTCGTGGTCCGGATCCTATAAACCTAGCCCCACCCACCCGATTGGCATATTCATCGCCCTGATGACAGAGGCAGTATGACCTCAGAAACGTTGGTAAACATCGACCAGACTACACAGTGCATCAACTCAGAAGACAGAAATCTTCATACTCACCACTGTGAGAACCTCAAATCTTACGTGTATTGATTGCTCCCATTTTTTATCCTTTTGTCTGGCTCATAATTGTCCTGTGATTGTAGGCATCACCAATGATGAGCAGTGTGCTTCACGTGTCAGCCGTCTAGTGCAAGACCTACCGGAACATCACAAGTCTACCTTGCACTTTGTGATGGTGCACTTCTGTCAGATTTGTCAGTTGCAGTACGCTCGTGGGATGACGGAGCCACCCACCCACATAATTGATTTTCTGTGTCATGCCTTCCTTAGACCGCCATGGGATAAAGCAGTGTAAGTTGAAAATTATTTTGCTTTTCAAATCACACATGGCCCTTGATTCTCTTGGTATATTTGAAGAATATAATATTAGGGGGTTATTAAATTCATAAGGTCAGACTGGAGCAAAATATTACCATTCTCACAGGTCAACCTAACATCGTTCACAGCTATGTTACTAGCGTAGCCGTGTTACAGACTTGCCAGCACCGGCCCATACATATTTTACTTCTTGAGTTATTTAAATAGGATGGATCATACAAAAATCTTACCAAGATGTCCATGTCAGTGCAGACATTTTCCTACATGTCATACATTGTATATAATAAGCATCAAAATGCTCAACATCTACTATAATATATATAAATTCATGTGTTTACAACACAAACTGTCTTTGGTTTGGCTTTGCTGTGGATCTCTTTTCCATTTTGGTAAAAGCCTTTCACTTCAAATTGAGGTCCTGAATTTATATCTGTTCATTATGAAACTTTAGAAACACTGTCGTTTGTTATAATGGCATGAAGCATCCATCAGAATAATATTGATCTGAGAGAAAGTTACCTCTGTGCATGCAATTTCTAGCTCACTTTGAAGGGGGCCCTTGAATTGAATACAGTAATATAGCAAGATAAAATAGTGATTTCATGTATTGGAAATGTAACGATTCTGATAGGAACTCAGTCTCCAGGTTTGCAAATATAATTATGAATCTTGCATGTCAGAAACTCCAAAAATTGTGCAGTCTTCCTCAGAAATTATGCTTATAACATTCTGTAATAACTGCATTCTCTCAAAAAAGATCTTTAATTTATGTCGTACAAACATAGTTTTAATATAAAATTGTGAATCTCTTGTTTTTCATCTCAAGTGCATATGAAAATGTGATAGAATGTGAGTGAGAATGGAGACAGAATTTTTAGACACCCATAAGGGTGGAATGTGAAATGGTACATTTGTATTCTTCCTCACATATATGTTTAAGTGTACCATACATGTCGATATTTCAGGGGTGCGGGCTGTGATACTAATCACTATCTGGTGGTTGCGTAAGTTAGGGAGAGACTGGTTGTAAGTAAACAAGCAGTCCAAAGGCTGCCGTCTTCATGGTTATGTTTCTATCATGCTGTAATAAATCTGATCGGGTTTATATTGCAAGTCTGTTATATCAACAAAACTTGCATATTCTTTTGTGACTGTCTTGAGATAAAGTTGCTGTTAAAATGTTTCAGCTTTAAGTCAAACAGTCGAAGATAGCAGTAGTCTGACCAGGATGAGTGTAATGTTTGAATGTGCAGACTGTAAGGCCCTTGGCAGTTTTCCTGGCCCCAAATTTACCTGCATTTGTAACCTGTATTAGTGTTATGTATTAATTCATCAATGTTAAGTTTATGTAAAGTAAAGTTTTACATCCACAGTGAAATGGTATGTCATACAAAAGCTCACCTTCGCATCATTGAGATGTTGCTGCTCTGTGTTGACTGGGGTGTGGAAAGGCCATCATTCGCACCTAAAATAACAAGTGGTAGTATTCTTGAGACAGAGATGGATGTTGGTGAATGTCCATCATCTTTACACAATGCTGAGTGGTACTGGGGGGATATAACAAGGTGAGTTTATATGTTTTATGGTAGTGCATCTTATCTGAAATTGTGATTTGTGAACTTTGGGACTGAAAATGACTGAGTGGAGGTTATAAATTAATGTTATAATATTGACTGCACTGGACTTACGAATTAAATTTTGTCTTTCTGTCAAAATTCATGGATAATTTTATTTTTGTTCTGGAGTTAGCATCATTAGCATTTACCTGGTGTTTTAAAGAACTTCTTATAAAATTGATTACTGTTCTTGTAAGATATTTATAAATGAACACCGAAGCTATTTAGAGTGGTAAAAAGTCTAAAATTTCATACTTGTAGATAGACCTTCGGGATATGAAGTGATGATGTTGATAGAAATTGTTAAAATTATAAAAGAAAGTTGAAAATATATTCTCTGAAGAAGTACAAGGACTTTCAGTGGTAATTAAGGGAGAAGCCTGTTGAATCAGTGGGACATAGAATTGGTTCAACTGCTGGTCTCATACCAGTTATCCCTTACCCCACAAATGCGAAAACAACTCGGCTCGGACCGCAATCATTTTTATGGGACCCACATATATTTTTGTTTCATTCTATCACCCTATGTGATGAAGAAATAGTTGCTGTCTGGGGTAAATATTAGGCCTATTGTAATTTTAATTAATAATCAGTAAAAATAGCAAATGAACCAGTTAAGAAAATAATTTAGTTTGTATGAACCTGATTTTCTAGCATTTTAATAAATTGCTATGAGATTTAAGTAAAGTGTCTTAATTTATGTTTTTGGCAGCCCACTAGTTGCTAAGAGGGAAATGTTCATAGGTCTTCAAAGATTGGTAACACCCAATATAGTCAGTAGAGAATAGTATAGAAATTTGTTATAATAAATTGTGATTATTTACTTCATGCATATTTAGGTAATAACATTAAACACTGTGTTGAAACAAAAGACTTGGCTCATTCATGGCCTACTATATACTTTTGCACGATGTGGCAAAACAATTTGTATGTGTTAACAACATGGCAACCTGAAGTAGCATAATTACACAGCTTTAATAGATCTGATCACTTAACCTTAATTTTTTCAGACATGAGGGCAATATTAGCTTTTGTGCAGTGTTTTTACATCCTATAGATGCTCCCATCATACCATCCACTTTAATAACTTGTTTTTGCTACGTGTCTTGGAAATTTCAGAGAAGAAGTCAATGAAAAGTTTATGGATACAACAGATGGTACTTTCTTGGTGCGAAATGCATCAAACAGAAAAGGAGAATATACTCTAACTGTACGTAAAGGGGGCACTAACAAATTGATTAAGGTCCTTCTGAAAAATGGCAAATACGGCTTCTCGGAACCATTTAAATTTGATACTGTCACAGAGCTGATCCATCATTATCGCACCACATCCTTGGCACAATACAACTGTATGCTGGATATCAAATTGCTGTACCCATTGTCACGAAAACAAAAGGTAAGAATCATCATCATCGTCATCATAATATGGGAATATGAATTTAAATCCATATGCTACTAAGCTGCTAACCAAACTTTAATTCTGAGGTTTAAGAGTTCAATAACAGGATCAGTTGGAATGTGTGTAAACCATGACACTTATTTTTTAAGGGAGAATTGTAAAGGGTTTAAAAGTGTCTGTGTTTCTCTGCATGATTATAAATATCATTATTTCTCCCATATCTTCTAGCCGCCGCCCCCCCCCCCAAAAAAAAAGCCTATTTACAACTGTTTCATACACATATTTCTCAACTACGCTTTCATTTTTCTTAATATTTGCTTAAATATAACCCAGTTTTCTGCAGTTTGTATTACTGTTTACAACTGGCCTTATAATTCCAGGTCCTGGATCAATACTTGTACATCCTTTGTCTACCAGCTTATCTCTCCAACTTCTACTTCCCACATATCTCAAAATATGACTCTATTCTTCCTCTTTACTGCAAATAGGACACATCCCTTGATCAATATTTCTCCTAACACCCTTTAATCTCCACACACCTATTTTCCAACATCTATACCTCTCCTAGCTTCATGGGTGCATAATTCCTTCTTCCAGTTACTCTTCAGTTCATTGTAGAATGCCATTGATCTAACCTCTCTCATGCTGGCTTCCATATTATTTCTCTCGATATCCACACATCATTTATTTACTTCACTCCATACATTTTTTAGGAATTCTTCATACCCTAGCATGAGGAAAGAACATTTTCTAGGCTGATTTTTCGGTTTGTCCGCATGATTGAATTTTACAACTGCTGGAAGAATGTGGATGAAATTTGGAATGGACATTAGGCCATTGGGGACTAACCCCAAAATCAAAATTTTCAAGTTCCTTGCATACATGAAATGCCAGCATTGTGGCAAACAAACTTGTGAGATTCATTGTTTCAAAACAAGTCATTCTTGCACTAATGTCAAACAAGGCTGCAGTTGTATGTTTGGCTGTTCATGTGCTGGTAATTATAATTTGGATTTAATTAGATATTGACTTCATGATTTCGGGAAGGTACCCTGAAGTGGTATTGGCTGCCGACTGGGTGGGGGGAAACCTGTAGGTAGGAGAGGGAGGGCTGTGGGGGCGGGTACAGCATGCAGTATTGGGTATGATGCTGGGTGGGGAGAGTTGATATAGCATATGTGAGGAGAAATAAATCAAGATTACAGAAAAGGAACTCTCTTTCTAAATAATTTCTAACAGTGTACTTATGCAAGAGTTTATTTTCATGTGTATTCACCGAGGGTAAGGTAGGAAGATTTTGAGGGTTTCTGGAACTTTGTGCTTTGATGTGTAATCTGTATAAGTGAAATATTTTGGCTCTTTTCTATACCAGATTTTTGTAAATTACCTACTTTGAATTTCTAATTGTATATTACTAGCATGTAATTTATGTAGCTGTTTTATTTGTGTGATCAGAATTAGTGTATTATCATTCCTTTAATTATTATTGTAAATAGGGAGCCTAACATTTCCATGAAGTAAGGCCATTATATATTCTTCCTCATTGAAGCAACTTTGATGAATATAATTTTTACACTGAATTCTTTTGAATAGGGACTTGAGAGTGCCATTGTAGGTGACCCTGTATCGGTTGCTGAGAAGCTTATGAATATACACAAGGAGTTCACAGCCAAAGTAAATATGTATGATGGTTATTCAGAAGATTTTTCATGCACAGATCGGGATATTTGTTTAAAACAACATGTCTTGGAGGCCTTTGAGGTGACTGTGAGAATGTTTGACGACCAAATTTTCTTACTGGAAAACTTCCAAAAGTATACACAGGCCAGTGAAATATGGAATGCACGCGACACCATTAACCTTTTAAAGTGTCACCTGAAGAGTGTCAAAGATTGCCAGAGACTGGCAGAAGATGAGCTGAAGCAGCAGTTTGCATTCAGCCACTCCATAGAGCGAGAGATGGTCTCTTTAAAGCCAGACATAATACACCTCTTCAAGCTCAAAGAGAAATATGAGGGGTAAGAAAGAATTTGGTCACTTCATAATAATTATCATTAAAGTCACTATTGAATTTTTACATAATAGTAGTAAATGATGCCATATATAGTGACAAGCTTTGTTAAAATGACTTTATACATGCCAAAGTTGGTGTAAAACAAATGTCCATTTTTCAGCAAGTTTGAAGAAATGTAATGGATAGCAAGCAACATAGAGTAAAGTCCAATGTAATGAGTACAGCCTGTAACAAGAAACCAGTTTTTGCAGGAAATTGTTGTGCACAGTCAATGTAAGATTTGAGGTTTTCACAGCGGTGAGTATGAAGATTTCTGTCTTCTGGGTTGTTGCGCTGTGTAGTCTGGTCGATGTTTACCAACGTTTCAGAGGTCATACTGCCTCCGTCATGAGGGCAATGAATGTGGGTGGGTGGGGCGGGCTAGGTTTATAGGAGCCGGACCGTGGGTGGATTAGCCTGCCCCTAGCCAATGGGAGCAGGTGTCAAATCCGGCGTGGGTGCGGACCAATAGGTGCATGTTTGCGTGTGTGAGAGAGAGGGAGAGAAGGAAAAAGAGAGAGGAGTCAAAGTGCAGCCCTTGTGAGGGCCTTGGGAAGTGCGTCCGGTGGGACATCGGGAGTTGAGTGGATTGTGATCAGGGCCCTTAACACCACCTGAACCACCCAGACCACTAACCTGGCCCCATTTTCAGGGCCCTGATCACGGAGGCAGTGTGACCTCTGAAACGTTGGTAAACATCGACCAGACTACACAGCGCAACAACCCAGAAGACAGAAATCTTCATACTCACCGCTGTAAAAACCTCAAATCTTATATAAGTTGTATTGTTTTGCAGGTGGCTAAGGCAGCATGGAATGAAACAGCAATATATTTCGCAGTTTTTGATGGCCAATGATTCTGCAGCATCCTTGAAATATTTGCTGTCAGATGCAAAGGTGAATGCTTTGCCTCAGGAAAATGAGGGGACTTGGCTTCTGAAGGACTGTACTCGTTTGAATGCAGAACACTTGCTGGCCCGTCATCCTGATGGAACGTTTCTTGTCCGTCCAAGCCAAACTGGGCAGTATGCATTGTCCATTGTGTAAGAGATTTCTGTGTCTAAAAATGTCTGATTAGCCATTGCTTCTTTCTCCATTGTTCTTTCAGTTTCTGCTTTAAATGAATATCAGTGCTTTTCATATTGACTATGTGCTGGCATTAGCAGGTATAGATGAGTCTAGAAGCATCTGACTAACTAATCTACTCAATGGAGCAGAGTCTTTCTTGACAAGATAATGGAATGCTTAGTTAGTTGAGAAATTCCCCACTCTATATTGAACCTGAAGTTTCATTACCATGTCCACAAAAGCCCACCACCAGTCACTAAAGTGTGAACACAAAAACGGCATATGCATGGAGCAGAACCCTCCTTGAGAAACTTGTTACCTCTGCTCGTAAAGAAATTTCCCACTTTTTAGACACTCCAAAGGTTCATTACTGTGCTCACAAAATTTGTCAAAATTCCCTAATCCAAGGTCCTGTGCAACATTCTGTGACATGCTTGATTTTATAGTAAGGAGTTGTAAGCGCCTTGCCCAACCACCAGGCTGTAGGACCACCTTTTGCTGCTGTCCTCAACTGCTTATTCAATATATTTGCAGCTATCCCTCATATCTGAAGGATTTTCCTCCATCTGCAATGTGAGGTTGTGCATTCTGTTGTGACAGGGAACGCACTTAAACATAGTCACTGCATTCACTACACACTGAAATTTATTCACTTTCTCCATAAATTTATCACTGTTTACTCACAAATGAGTACAATTACTTTTTGTTTCACACTTTTCAAAACAAATTTTATGATTGTAATTAAACTTTATAAGTGAATTCTTATAATGTGACTATGGTAAAAAGACTGTGCTGTAGGAGGCATGTCATAGCATGCGTGCCACTACTGGCAATAACTGTGCTATATTTTTACAGTTGCATCTGCGGTGTTGGTTCTCTGACGAAGTCCGTGGTTGAGGATCGCCATGTTTTTTAAAGAAGGCATGTAGTGTGGACTCATGATTTCTTCTTTCTTTCAAAATTTCACGATAAGGCCTCATGGCCTCAATTGCGTAAGAGCAAACTCACATATGCAAAAATTTGCATTTCGCAAACAGCTTTTACCAGTTCATCGATCTCATTGGAGCAAATTCGCGTTAACGAAACATACGTAATTGCAGAGATGACTTTATAATTTTTATTGAAAATCAGTGATGTAAGAATTATGATTTAGTGTAAGAAGCAGTATGAGAAACATTATAAAACGTTATAAATAATAGTAAAATATATTCCTTTCAAAATCAGCGTTATTCTGAATCCTACCAGGCCAAAGTAAAGTTACAGAATACAAACATACGTAGACTTGCTAAGCTGCACTGACAACTTCACAACTGTTTTAACTAATTTTTACAATATCTTAACCAGATTTAACCTACGTAGGGCAGTCAAAAAGTTCCCGGAATTGTGGTATAGCACTGTAATGGTAGGACATATGGCAACACTTACCTAATCACTTTCAAAGTCGCCGTCGCATTTGACACCTTGCTGGTTGTGCAGCAATTCCTCGCCGATAAAAGCATTCCCGTCATCACCCAACCACCATACTCTCCGGATCTCGCTCTGAGTGACTTCTGGCTGTTCCCTACTCTGCAACCATGGAGGACATCAGATCGAACGCGAAGGCCAAACTCTGGAAGATTCCAAATGAAGCCTTCCGCCGGTGCTTCCAACAATGGCAGGATCGATGGAGCAAGTGTGTGTGTGTGTGCGTGCGTGCGTGCGTGCGTGCGTGCAAGGGTCCTACTTTGAAGGTGATTAGGTAAACATTGCCATATGTCCTACCATTACAGTGCTATACCGCAATTCCGGGAACTTTTTGACTGCCCCTCGTATAATTTTAGCATTATTTGAAGAAGAAAAAAACAACAACAGGAGAATAAGTAATTGTCTGAATGCGATGTCTTCAAACATATATTTGAACTTGATGGTCACATGGGTAGGAAACGTGTAATTCAAAAGGAATAAATCTGTGAACTGTGTGTGAAAGTGACTGACAAGAATCTACAAGAATTTTACTGTCACGTTGTGTATGTGGAAAGGAATGTCTTACAGTGATTCACAATTAACTGTACACCCTTGCTCCTTATTTCCTGCTTGAATAGAAGGGAGGGCTTGAAGATCAGGGTTCTTAATTCACCAAATAGGTAACAATAGATGCAGACAGTGTTATCATGTTTACCTCTATGTCTTGTATATCTCATTGGCAGCATTTTGTGTTCCTGAATTTGATCTTTATATATGACAAACCTTGTATTTTAACCCAAAAGTCTTAGAAAAATGTGCATGTTATATTTTGGCAAATGTGTGTTGCATGTATCTACCAGTAGTATTCTTCAACAATGTAGTCATTATAAATCTCTTTTAATATTAATTTTTTGTGTGATTTCAGTTGCAATGGTGTTGTGAACCACTGCATCATTTTTCAGACTGTGCACGGTTTTGGATTTGTCGAGTCTTACACCATATTTAAGTCACTGAAGTCGTTGGTGCTTCATTATGCTCAGAATTCACTGGAAGAATATAATGATTTACTTAATACAACGCTTGCTTACCCAGTGTTTGGGACTTCACTAAAGCAACCTTTGCTGCCTCCAAAGGAAAATTCAAAAGAAAAAGCAAAGCATGATAAAGGCATACAGAAGCAAATTGAAAAACAGAAGAGAATTCAAGACCAAATGACACAGCAGGATTCTGATCAGGAGTCACGGCAACAAGATCAAATAAAAGTGAGTCGCATAAGGGGATATGTATTGACCCATCCACGATGATGGTGTTCCTCTTCTTTCCTCATTGTTAGACAGTCATCTGTGATAGAGGTTGTTGAAAGGAATTGCTACTGTACAATAACATTAATTCCACTGATTACTAATTTCATAATCTGAAGAGGGAGATGAAAATTAAAGAAGTAATTTAAACCAATCTGGAGTACAGTTAAATTAACCACGTAAAGAAATGCCATTCAAGAAGCATAAGTGAGAACATGTTTTTAATTCATGAAATTCTGTGCTTAGTTGAACTAACATTTTATAAAGTTAGTTGCTGCATTGATAAAAATTGTATGCATTTGACCATTGTTACATGTATACTAATGACGTTCATGACAAATACAGAGTGTCAAGTAATAAGGACAGAACAGTAATGTTGCTGTGAAAACATAACCGTCAATAACTTTACTGTGTGGGAAGTAAACCCCCATGTGACTGGGCTGCGAGCCAGACTTCAACTAAGGTGTGTAACAACAGCTTTCCAGTATACAGCCTTGATGCACACTCGACTATGCTGTGATGCAATCTTGATAAACGTTAAATCCCCTGGAAAGTGATGAGGTGATCAAGAGTAGAAAACTGCCTTAGGCCCCCCATACACACACAGTTTGGCCTTCCTATCGACCTTACAGGCAAAACTGTGACAGTTTGCCCTCTACCTTTTCTTCCCCATACACGCGCAGATAAACCGGCAGGCTGCATGCCACAGTCACAGTCTTCCAGCCTATGTTGCCGAGTGCAGTGCAGTTATGTTTAGTTGTTAAAACATGTCTACAGTTGATGAACTGTTTGCATATGCAGCTATCGCGTGTGTATTGCCCCCCCCCCCCAGCGACATTTTTTGCAAAGAGGTCAAATTTGTCCTCATTTTTCACTTGAGCCAATCAATCGCCCACTGCCACCAATATCTGATCATTAGCAGACAGATTCTTTTTACGTTTGAATGAACCGCCGTAGGAACTGCTGGCGATGGAAGAGGTGGGACCGTGGTAGATGTCTGGACCAGTGCTGATGTTTAATTCTGCATTTACGGTACAAGTTTCAAAATGCCACATTCTTAAGAAATGACACACAACGCGAAACAGTGCTGAAGAACATGAGATAGCAGCAGCAACTGAGTGATTGGCCTGCCGGTATCGTCACACACGTGCGTTCCGCCTGTCACGTGCTACGTCCTGCAGGCAGAACTGATGGGTTTCCTACAGTCCAGCAGTCCAAACGATTGGCCGGCCGCACCACACATGAGTTTTTCCTTTCAGTCTTCAACTGTGCAGGCTGAACGGGAGGCCAAACTGTGTGTGTATGGGGGGCCTTAGTTTGGTGATGATGGAATAATTGGATTTCAGTGTGGTTTAAAATAAGAATGTTAATTGGTTATGGAAAGAAACGAGGTTAGGTATAGACACTGTGGTACCTAATGCTATGAAAAGTGGCATACATTTCTCTCTGGACTTTCTTCTATGTGTATGTATTAACTTTTGTACATATTGTGCATTTGCTCTGAAGACTACTTCTGGCAATGTATGTCTAGCGTTTTTAAAGAAATATAAGACTGGAAGTATGAATGTTTTGATCTTGTTTTCCTATTGTTTATTCATGTTATTTGTGCATGGAATTTAAATATTATTAATGGCACAGCACTACCAAACATTATCAGAATTGCATTATAAAATAGAATGTGAAGAAATTTAAAATTAAATGGAATGTAAATGTTCATTGTGAGCATTTATCACAACAGTACACTACCACAACCAACACAACAAAAATACAACATAATGTAACACTATAAGACAAGTTGGTAAAATTTTTTGCGTGATTTTAGTCTTTGGAGTCTTGGAGGTGTAGCATGACTGGCGTAAGTGGTTTATGTGCAGCGGGTTGGTAGTGAGGACGGTTTTCGCTTTTGAGGATGTTTATGTGCTAAATATATTTGAGTTCATAATGGCAAATATTAAGTCTCTTAAAATCCCATAATGCAAGAATCATTGCTGCAAGTTTCTATGTGCGAACAGTGATCTTTGTGGGCTGTTATTAGGTTACGGAATAAGAGCCTGGAAATTATGGGGTGTTCTCGTTTGTCGGTTGAGGTTATGTGTCTATGATTGTCGAGGAATGATTTGACAACTTGACAGGTTCAGTCGGCACGA